ATTTGAACGAAGAAAATGATCTACTTTTACCAGAATTACAATATACGTCAGTTGATCAAAGTAATCAAATAGAAACTAAAGACGATAGATCTGAAGCTACTACTGATTCTGATGATTCTGGTGCTATTATACGGCTAATTATTTCTGGTACTAGCTTTCTTTCTTGGATATCACTTGAAAAAAGTCTTGAATATTATGGAAAGAAAAATGGGTTTAAACCAATAAAAGAACGATGAAATACAGACAATAAAACTGGAAATATTATTCGTTGGTGCTTCGAGTGTGAATACTCTGGAGATCCAAAACCAAACCATAATATTGATCATACTCAAGCTTGACAAACATCTTCAAAAAAAACACAGTGCCCATAGCGATGTAATGCTAGCTATAGAAAAACCGAACAAAAAATTTACATTAATAAACTTATTGAAGAGCATAATCATAGCCTTACACCATATCGTGAGGAATTTGCACCATCTTTGCAACGACTGTCACAGAACATTTTAGATGAAATTAAGTTTATGATCCAAAAATGTGAATATAATGCTAGACAGCAAAGATGGTATCTTGTCAATAAGTTTCCTGGTGTTAATATTTATTCTAAGAATCTTTATAATGCAATCCGACATTACAAAACTCCTACTGCCTCAAAAATTAACCAGGATGCCACTCTGATGCTTGAATATTTGATTTTTAAGCAGCGTAAAGATCCGAATTAGAAGGTTAACATGTATTTTGAAGGTGCTGATACTTCTTTAGCCTGTCTTTTTTGGCAGAGCCCAACTCAGTCTATGTTGTATGAACAGTTTCATGACGTAGTCATGAATGATAACACTTGTAAAACAAACATTTATAGAATGTTATTAAATATTTTTGTTGGTGTTGATTCTCATAACCGAACAAGAATGCTTGCACAAGCACTTGTTTAAGATGAAACACAAACTACCTTTGAATAGATATTGCAATCCTTAAAACATTTAAACAATAATCTTACGCCACAAACTATTTTTACGGATGGTGATCCTGGACTGGCCACTGCAATTTATAACAAATTTTCTAATACCAAACACCGACATTGCTTGTTTCACATTAGCCAGAATCTTGCTAAAAACCTTGCACGAAAGCTTGGTCAAGTTCAATATAAAAATTTTCTTGAATAATTTTATTATGCACATAATAGCAAATGTGAAGAATTTTTCAAAAGTAGGTGGCAACAATTAGTGAATAATTTTCCTGAACATGAACGTTATCTGTATCGATTATATAGATCACGACATGCGTAGGCTTTGGTTTACACCTGCACAACCTTTTGTGCTAGTATAAATAGTACACAACGTGTCGAATGCATTAATGCATATTAAAGGCTGAAGTTAGAGCACGAACAATGCTTACAAAATTAGTAGAAGGTATCGAAAAACAGATTGAAAATGAGGCCAAATGCCAACGTGAATCTGAATATAGAAATCAGCTTCCATCTGTTGGTCTACCTACTATTCATAGTACTTTTTTTTCCCAAATCAATGAAATTTTAAAAAAACATTTGACATTTGAAGCACTTGCTTGTCAAAGACTTCAGATTAGTCAATCTTGTCTCTACCACCCATATAAAATTAACAATTTAACCTTTAACCAAGTAAGTATTTAATCGAGATTATCTTAAGTTTATAACTGATTACTAATTCATTTGTGTAATTAGAATGATAACTTAGAATATACCGCTGGATTTCTCGAGAATGATTATCAGGAAGGCCGCATTCTACTCTCATCAATGCTTAAATTAGTTAAAACTCAAAATATTGGTGAAATTTGGCAAATTAGATTATTTAGTAATCTAGCTCCTTATAGTGAACATTATATTATAGTTCTATATGATGGAACTCATTTATGTTCTTGTATGTCATTTATTGCTAGAGGTTTTTTTTGTCGACACTTCTTTTCTGTTCTGGTCGTCTCCTCACTTATTAAGTTTCAAGTACAAATGATACCTCGACGATAGTTTACGAATCCTACAAATGTAATTAAACAACCAAGCACTATTACTATTACAAACACTGTAACAGATATACAGGAGATACAAAATGATGAATCAAGTAGTGGCTTTGCTATAATTGAACAGATTAGAGGACCAGACTGTTTTAACGATGAAGTTTAACGATACACATCCAAGAAAGCTTTGTATTGTCAAGGCATTAGCATTGCTAAAAAAGGTGTCCAAGTTGCACTGGATAGTGATACTATAAATGAGTTTATTGGTCTAATGTACACCTTTATTGAATCAAAATCTATTCAAGTTGACAACTCATTAAGATCGGATATTATTGGATTAATAACAAATCCTCATGTTATTTCACATCGTGGTCGACCAAAGAAGCAGTTACATGACTCTTTAGAAGTTATTAACAAATCGAATTCTCATCAAATTCTTAAATCTAATAAAGTACTTAATGAATCTGATATTACAAACAAATCAATGCGCAAATGTTTCTATTGTAATAATACAGGTCACTATGCTAATACTTGTGAACTAAATCCTAAAAACAAAAAAAAAAGTAAGCACTAGATTTGGTTAGAGTTAAAGCGAGGGTGTTAGGTTGTTAGTGGTTATGGTTAGAGTTAGGGTATTAGGTGTTTAGTTTTATATAATATAATTTATGTTCTGAATTGGCAATCTGAATTTGGTAAATTCGATATTACACTTTGCACTGTGAATTCTCGAAATAGTGTTATTTGAAAGTCCTGTTCCTAAAATAGCATAGCTGCTTTAAATGAGTGACGAAAAGGGAAAACCTGTAAATTATTTCACTCATTATCTTGATAATAAGTGAAATGATTTACAGGTTTTCCTTTTTCGTTACTCAAATAATGCTTTTGTCTGTTCTGAAATAACACTTATCTCATATCACATATTAATATTAGTAATAATTAGACTTGATGCATCTATTTCAATGGCTCAACAGTGAATCTGATTGGTTTGTCTAATCAAACTAACTAACCAGATTCTTTGTTTAGCTTACTAAAATAGGTACTTGAGAACGCTCTTAGGAATTAATTTTTTATATCGAAATAGTCGTATTCAAACTAACGCACAAGTGATCAGAGTAACTTGCAGACACCTGTTGTTTGAAGATTTTATGGTAGTAACAATATTCGTAACGATCATCATCAGACTTTGTCTGTCCCAAATTCGAAATATATAATGCCTATTTAGACCCAAGTAAAATATGCTATAGTTATTTGTTCATGCGGCTATTAAGATCATTCACAGAAAAAAAAATTCTAGTTCATCTAAAATGAATGCTCTAATTCAAGTGGATTCCAAAGAAATTTCATTTTGTTCTAATTTACAACAAATACGTTATAACGAAATGATATCTTTATACCAGAGTTGGACTTAAATTAAATCAGAAATTAGCGAATTATATGCAAAATTGCTTAAAGAAAAGCTTTTATTATGTGATTTCTTATGGGGACGCTCACAGAAAAAGCAGAGAATAAGACTATATAATATATAGCCCCATCCCCTGCTTTTGCTGTGTAGGCGTGCCCATGATTATTAACTAATATATTCATATATTTTGTATTACTTGTGTGTAATACAAATCATGTGACCGACGATATTGCTATTGGCGGTAAATAGCAAAATTCTATAAAAATTATATTTTTATAACTTTAACATAGTATTATTGCTATTAAGTACTATTCAAATTCATTTACAATTTATATCAATATATTCTTAATATTATCAAAATTCTGTATAACTTATATCATAATCTTTTCAAATTTTTTTATATTTACAAATCTCGAATCATTCAGTTATAATTTGTATTTATTGTTATAAATATAGATTATACAGATTTATAAGTATATACAGTATATAAAACAGATTTATATGCATAGTACAAGCTAATTTATATATAAGCTATACTATATATACTGATCTAGTATTATATACATATTAGAGAATAGTTGATTATTAACAGAATTAGTAGTATGGTATAGTTTTTAAAAAATTAGGCTAGATCTGTTTATCTATACTACAGTGCAAGACAAAAAAAACCCTGCACCTATATCTGCTTACAGAGAGAAGCTATAGCCTTGAAACTTTCCCAAAACTTAGTAAATAGTTAGCCTAGATTGTATATTTTTTTTGGTAATTTTTTAATTACTAGAAAAAATTTTAGATGAGAGCTAAAGTTTGAACAATTTTTTTTACAAAAAATAAAAAAAATTAATTGGGTTCAATTAAAAATTAATAAAAAATCAGGATCATGTTTAAAATTTTCAAAAGTTTAGTATATTAAAATTCAATAATTTTTATACTAGTGACAAAAAATTTGACTCAATTTGATGAGATAGTTATTGAGAAATTAATTTTTAAAG